ACAAATTCATGTCATTTATGCTGATTAATGACAGTTAGGTGTGAAACCTAAAATAGTCAGGCGTTTAACCCATTCAGCAAATTGTAAATTACACTGAATAACATTCTGGGCAAACAATAAAAATGGCGTGCCCGTAAATAAGGTCTATTGTTAAGCTAACGCAGGTGCCAGTATATGGGCCAATTAAACCGATTCGTGCAAGATCGTTGGTTTTGTTGCACCTCCTTGTACTTAATTTCAAAATCTCATTTACAAATTCTGAACTGTGAGATTTTAGTGGAATTCAGATTCCTCTTGGCTAATCGATAAAAAAAATCATGTTGGTTTTCTTTCGTTGCCTAAGGATATAACATTATGTGGGAATATTACGGTGCTGATTTTCTTACCACGATTGAAGTCTTGGTTCGAGGCGGTGTGTGATAATGTCATAACGCTTTTTTGTCATACAGAGCAACAAAAACCAGGCAATGGACCGAAGTCCAGATCCCGCACGTGCTATGCATACATAGAGCAAGGTGAGGGAGCTAAGAAGGACGCCTGCGAAGAAGGACCAAAGGAGGACGAGTGTGCCTGTATTACTGATAGACCTCCGCGCCGCTTACAAATAGGTTATGGAAGAAGTGGCGGGGGCGAAGGAAAACCACGCGATGGTGATATCGATACACTCTGTAGATCTAATCCTGTAAGGTGAGTTTTTGCTCTTGTAGACGAACTGAAGAACAGTCATGCAGATTACAAATGCGTTATGGGAAAAAGGCGACGGCCCAGGTAAACGAATCGATGTTCGTATCGCCAATTTCTGTTCCCTTATAGAGGATGAGTTGGGGGAGCATAACCAAAGACCTCCCATATGGATCTCAAACATTTGATGCAAAAGAAAATAAATAAGAGTGGTCGTTCGGTTAAACGATTTGCATTGAAACTACTTTTCTTGATGAGTAGATGTAACCTCATTTCATAGTGTAAATGCAAGGTAGAAATCTCAACTTACTTAGGGGTCATTCAAATTTTCCATGTTTTTAAATCTCGATTTTTTTTCAAAATTGTTTTGACCCACCCACCCCGGATTTCGATTAAAATGATTTTTGCTCATTCAGTCATTATAGTATGCATGGTGGCAGCCGTGTTGAAAACCGCCTCGCGACCGCACATACTAGTTCCCGTTACAGCGCTCCCTGGTTGGCCTCTCATTTTCTTCTAGCTATGTATTCGCATCCGTGGCTGTTCCGTTGACTGTGTACATTTATTTTTGGTACAGCGCCCTCGTTTACAGCACTTTCCTGTTTAAATAGCGCGTCCCAAATAAAAACATGCACAATAATTCCGTGTGATTTTCTGTATTAATTACCGGTACGCTGCTGAAATGAGTTGCTCTGGGAGCTCGGCGACGGTCCAACAGAAAAGTGGGCTTCGGTAACTCCTAAAACATGTGCGCTGATACCTCGAAATAAATACATGAAATTGGAAAAATACCTATGCATGAAGAGCAATCGAATTTTGTTAACTAACTCACGAAACTATTTTGTGTTTGATCCTTTCTCGTTTCCGGGTTGTCGAAGTTCGGAATATATCATTTTGTCACAGGGGTCACTGGCTCCCGGCCGTCTCAGGTCGTTCTCGTTTTTTCTAGCGGTAGGAATCCAGTTGATTGTGCATGTTTCTCGTGTTTTTGTACGTGTGCTTCCACAGCGCAGCACAACTTGCGTAAGTTGCTTCGTGTTTGCGCGCATGGAAGCCAGCAGAGTTTGCAAAGTACCACTCCGTTTTATATTTGATGCTCTGCATCTTCATCTACAAATATTTATGAAAAAGCTATACATGTTGATGTGTGTTCGCCGTCAGACCAAGCCATGCATGCTGTAGGGTGCTGGTGTTAGCCGGTGCATTTTGGTTTTACGCTGTTACATTGATTTTCAGCATTGCTCGGTATAACGCTCAAAGTAAGGGCTTCCACAGCTACGGCAAGATCGATTGTCTGCGCTTGTCTACGTATTTCTAATGGAGTGGAGAATAAAGATTATAAAGCACCGCGTTGCTATCTTCAGTCGGATGCAACCAACAAGTCCACAGAAAAAAACACCTTCACTCATGGATTTTCACACCGTGCATGATACATGTACACAGGTTATTCTATCTGTACATGGGAACAAAGTTGGAAAAGACCGCACTTCCGGAATGCCAGCGCGGCGTGCATAGTTCACTCGAGTCAAAAACCCGAAGTCTTTCCTTTTTTAAAGAACACCCCTAAGGAAAACATTCATCTGTTCAAAAAGAATTCGTCCAAATCGAACGCAGTGTCATTCGTCTTCAGAACTTAACTATAACAAGCTAAAAAAATAACAAGCTTTTATTAATGGCAAGATGCGGATTCTGAATGTAGATTGCGTAATTCGGAGGGGAAAAAAAGAGAAAACGAGGGGAACCTTTGCCCTGCGTTCGCAGTGTATAAAACTTGTGCATACCAAACAATGGCAACTAACAATAATGGCTACATGCATGGCTACATACGTGCACTGTATAATCCTCACTTTAGGTTTTTTCGTGAACGGTTCTTTAATATATTTGATTCTGCTCACGGTAATGTTTACATATGAGGGATTTTTCTAATGCCACAATGACAAACTTCGCAATGTTAAATCTGTTCTGAACAAGGCTGTAAAATCTCTGGGCATTTTTGTCTAGCACGGAGGATTCGCATAACAGACAAACTGATGACCCAACCAGCATGATTTTGTACCTGATATTTGTGCACAATTTTACCAGTTACCATTCTTCCCCAACAGAGAAGCCATTCAACTTGTACCTTTCGTTTGGCAAAACAAAATGTTCAGTGTTTGACAGTGAAGTTGTCTGGAACAGACACCATGTGTTCATTTGGTAATGCGTCGTTGTAGTGTACCTCCACAGAGCCCGGTTATTGTGGACTCAAAGCGGGGGGGTGGATTCTAACCCCCAAGAACTCAGCAACTCATCTGTCATATGCTTGATTGTTTTAAAACTCAGTACGCGTGTGTAAACAATCCACCCCTTCTGCTACATTTTTCAGACAACGGCGCGCTTCAGTTTTCGCAGGAGTGGAGCTCTAAGGCTGGTTATTTTTTACGGAAGCGTATAAAGGCCACTTGCAAAAAAATGTCGAGTTACTATCTACCAGCTATCGTTACAAATGTATTGGTACACACGTGTCATGCGCGCCGGGGAGTATCGACCCATGATTAAATGTTAAATTAATTCCACCCAATAAGCTCTCAATAAAAATACGTCATGCGCTGTAATGGCGGTTTTTGACAAGCGAATGCATAAATGTGAGGTCACGGAGCCTGGGGATATCAATCCAGTTGATGAAAAGTGTGTGTTAATTTCCCTTTTATGCACCTTCACTTCATTTTTCTTTCTGCCTCTTGAAATCTTTTAAATTATAGCAAATGTTAATTATGTGCCGATGATATCAGCATCGAGGTTTGGTTTGAAATGGCAAGCAATTTTGCATGGCGTCGCCAGATTGTTTTCGGCGGGGGAGGCAACCACCTAGGAGGTCAATTTTCTTTTTCTTTTTTAAGCAAATTGATAATTTTCATCCTTTTCATATCTATTTTTCATTTCTTCGGCTGTTTTCCCTTTTTTTATTTTTCAGGGCCCCCCTCGCGGTGTTTACGTAGGATAATGATTATTTTGTCTAAGTATAAATGAAAAGGCACCGTAATGCTTTCAATAGGCAGTCTACCAGGGAGTCAAAGTAGTCTACCCCACTTCCGAATATGGAAATTCACAACCCCAAATGAGATTTCTTTTTTGTGTTGGAAATCAAGCTTTGTTGAAATAAAAAATCTCACCCTGGTGGTACATGAGAACAACTACACGATAAATGGGATTTATGAAGCTATTGAAATATTCGCTGCGGCGGAATATCAATTGTTGCCGCTGCAAGATTGTATAACTCGCCGAGTATTTTGCCGCAGCGAGATAGTGACTCGGATTTTTTCTTCACAAGGAGCTCTCATACGCTTCTGTACTTCCGTAATTATGACACTAATTTTCTGAAAATCAGACATACCATTCTTGCGCAGCCCGCACTTTTCCGAGACGGGGCCAGCCGAATGCGTTCTTTTTGCACTGCAGGGCCAAATGCCCGCGTAAAGCCTTGAACCTCAAATGACCGTGACTTTAAAACTGGTTAACTTCAAACTTCATATTTGTATTGATAAGGAGTGGTTTTACGTTTCTGCTAAATTTCAAGACTTGTAGAACTTTCAAAGAGGGTTCGGGGGGAATCCGCCCCCGGCTGTGAGAAGAGCCAAAATAACCCGGCTCTTTCAGGTTAATCAAGTTCATTTGATTTAATCTGTTATTTTGAGTATACAAAACCAGTTGCATGTTAAAGTTAAAAAAAAAGAAAATAATTTGAAGGTCACTCCATTGTCTGCATTATCTCAGTTCGACGTATGAATGTCCAACAACAATCCAGCCAGACCCAACAACACCCACGACCATGTTGTCGACAACAGCGACCGAGCCTCAAACAACAAGTAGAACACCCACCAGTGTACCATACAGCACTACAAACAGAGCCCCAACAGGTAGGACTACAACACTAACACCATCGACAAGAACGGGGTCAGCGATGACAACTGCTCAAGCAACTGGTAGCTATACTACTACCGTCCCACTGACCGATGGAGGTAACTGAGAAAGAGTGGTCAAGCAAGGAGAGAACCAGCCTATCTTTGACTGGCCTGCCTATCGACACTAACCTCATTTATACATATCTAATCAACGAGGGACGCGTTCAGATTGGGTTTATGGCCACAATATTCAAAACTGAGTTGTCGGTTTGTTATTCGACACCCATCAGTGCAGAATGAAAACAGAGTCCTTAAACACTACCAACTGAAGAACACAAACAAAAGCATTTCACTTTCTGTTTTTGACCCTTGCTAAGACCGAAGGGCATTATAGTTTGAAGCATCGCAAAAGTGCCATCGAATAAACTTACTCTACTCGAATTGGCCTTTAAAGAACTGTCATATTATGGCAAACGTAGAAGGATATTAGAAACCTTTGGAAATTGAAAGCTGCCTTAGTTTCGTCCTGGAATTTCCATATGTTAAATATAACTTGGCCTCATTTTACAGTGTGAACGTGAAATCTAACTTTTAACTTCAAGGTTCATTATGCTTAATGAAATTTCCTTTCCAATTGAAAGTAATTTTTATGATTTACATTATTGTAGGTGGCACAATGGCGAACACAACCCCAGGGCCAGTGACATCTGATGAAGGTGCTTTATTCTATATTCAGTACTGGCTCCCTGCGGTACTTGGACTGATCTTAGTTATCCTGCTGGTGGCGCTGTTCAGGCGAAGGCAACGTTCCGAAAAAGCCCCTTCCCAAGTGAATCCGATGGCCCACACAGGGTATGTTAATGTACTCACATCACAATTTTGACGCGGTAGCCCTAGTCACCCTGCTTTTGATCAAAATCCTAGGACCTCAATGCTCCATTTTCTAATTATTAAATGAAATATGTAGACACTCCAATGGACCCCGACAAATATGAAAAATAAAGAAGAAAAAGGCAGGAAAACAAAGAAATTGAAAAACGGAGGTGAAAGGGGATGAAAATCAGAAATTGGTTTGAAAACCTCATAACTGACCCCGCCCCCACAGTTTATTGTTTATTATTTTTTAGATAATAAATGGTTTGCCCTACCCCCTGAAACCCCCCCCCCCCGAAAATCGTGGCTATGCCGATGTAGTCTCCTCTTGATGAAATTTGCTAACGTTTATCTAACAAAGCACTACACGTCGGAAAACGGGCAACTGTATGAAAATAATTGTTAAAACACACACAGACGCCAGGCATCGCAATCTGTCCAATTATCACCAGGGTGTGTAACAGTAAGGGAAAAAAGCAAAAATTCCCTGACGGAAGATGGAGCTTTGTAAGCGATTCGCTTCAAATGGCATCTCGACCAAGTCAAACATTGTGAGAGAATGCAAATCAATCCAACAAGTGAAGACGAAATTGCAACTGATTTGCTGACAGCTTAGTCTCATGTTTTCACAGAGTCTTCTACTCGTCCGAATCCTAGCTTGTTGAGATAATAAACGGAAGCGTGCCCAGCTTAAGCTTGGTCATTACCGTGCTACACTTGAAAAAAATGTGGGTTTGAAGGTTGTGCACCACGTTACTTATTAAACATAGCAGTTGTTAAATTTTCATCCCCTCTTATCTTGTTGGCAGGTCCAATGGCGTTTATTACTCTCCGTGCAGTGACTCTGGTCCCTTAGAGGTCGATCCAAACAGTAAGTTTTCTAAGTCTTCGATTGCGCCAATCCTATGACTGGCCATTTCGCCCAGCAGTTCAAATTTAATTTTAAACTTCTTTCATTCCAATTCGAGCCTATGCCCACTTCCCTAAAATGTGTTCGAACAGACTCAAAAATTGCAGCCGTGCAGAGCCAACATATCCATGGGTAGCATTGGTGCAAACTCTGATTAGCCAAGAGTGCAGCTTGATTTGTCTTTTTTTTCTAATGCTAAGACAATTAATTTCAGTTTCAGTGTCTACTTGACTGAAAAGAATTAGCTGCCAACATCAGTCTCGGTTCAAGGTTCTCGAAGTGATATTTCTTGTCTTCCTTACACAGGGGACGGTGTCACGGGAGACACCGCAGTAGGCCTAGTCCTGAACCCGGCTTACGAGCAAAATATTTCGGGTACCGAATTGGAGAGAAGTGGTGACTTCTTCTGCCCTGCAATGAGTGACACTCCCAACCATTTCAAGGTCAAAGGTAGGGCTCAATCACCGGGCAAGGTGGACGCGATTCACGGTAACCCGCCGGCACTACTTGGGAACTTCAACGTAGGGTTCTCGGAGGGCAATTACAACCCTGTTGCAGCGGGAACCAGTTGTGATTTGCCGTCGGCTCGTGGGTCAAGATACGAACCGGTAGCCGTGAGGCGATCCGGCGAACACTTGCCACGTCCTGATGCTGGCTACGACAATCCAGACGAATTTGTCATGCCAGGAAACAAGCCAGCTCCCCCGATGCATCCTTGGAAGAGCAAAAAACAGCAGCAGGGAGATGGTTACGAGGAACCCCCCGTTGGGGACGAAAGGTCACCAGGGGACGGCGCTCATGCGCCAATCACGTACGAAATCCCGGAGATATCACCAGGTCTGCCGACATCACCTAATACCGACACTTCGTATGAAGTAGCTTCGATCGACAAGGCTGCGCCCCGAAACACTTTGCCGAAATACGCAGGAGTTGATATGAGCAACAAGGCTACCAACCAAGACAATGGGGAGAAAAGTCCGGGGGCTGACTCAGGCTACGAAGCGGCTATTGTCCCGCCCGGAAATACCCCTTCATCGGCCGGTGCCCCGGTTCGGTATAACTACGCTTACGCGTACGTGTCACCGACAGGATGCCCACCAGGGATGCCCATCAAGGCTAATCAGTACAACGTGCTTCAGACTCCGTGCAAGGAGGATGATGGGGAATACTCAATGCTGAATCGAAACAAGGGAGGAGGGTACCAGACCAGCACTACTGCACCTATAATAATGCCTGCAAATGTATACAACACTATCAACATTGCTTCGCAAAAATAGCGCAGAAATGTATCTGGGTGCAAAAAATAAAGATCACTGAGTAAAGCATAAGCTCTTCGCGCGTGTCATTTTGAATTTTTATTATTTATTTGAAAATGCAAGATGGTATAAACTTTTTTTTTAATGCCTAAGCACCCTTGAAATGACGTTGTCCGTCAATGTCGTCTGACTATTATGTCCAGAGTAAGGCCTAGTTATGGATTTTGAAACACGAGTTGTAACGGAGCAGCTGTAGGTTACAGTTATGACGCTTCATAGTACTCTGCATAATTTTATGTACTTTATAAATCCATCAGAACTTTAGTTTACAAAAAAAAAATAATAAGTTCTTGGCTGTGTACGATATGGTACCAAAACATACGCAGAAATTCTATCGGCGCACAGGAAGTTGTGATGTTGAAATGTAATTTGAAATGTAAGTATATGTAAATCATATTTCCGTCAGGTTCAGGAAGGGAATTTTAAACAAAGAATCCTCGTCGGGAATCTGACAATTGTTTGACTTTGAAGTTCACTTTGAATTAAGGTTATTTAAATAAAGAACGCGTTAAATTTCCACATTTAAATATCTACGTATATGAGCTGAGTTCCAAAGAAAAATGCCCTTTTTAGCAATGGAGATCAACATTAGTGACCTTCTACTCAATGCCTCAAACATTTGAATTTACATTTCAAAGTTTGTCTATTTATTTGTTTATTTCTCTTCATCCAACAGCACATTTAGCTCCAATTACTGAATGAGGTGACAATTAAGCAGTCAGTGAAGAAATGTTCAATTTTAGAGGTGGGAGGAAAACCCTGGATGACTATTCCAGGGAAACCCGTGGAATCAGAATCAAGAACCAATGCACCAACCTGACTTTCGTAATCTGACTAAAGAGATTATTTAAAATAAGTATATTTAAATATTAGAGTAGCCTATCGCTTTGCTGTTAAACAGTACTGCAAATTCCATCATATTGTATTTACAATAAGTATTTTTGTAATAAGGGTTATAAAAGGCTTAACGGATTTCTTTGATGGTCTCAGTAATAAAGTGTGGACGTACATTAGTATTTGATTGTAGATTTGGAACTTATCCCCTGAAGCTGAAAAAAGTAAAAACCAAAATTGAATGCGAATAAAATCTGGCAAAGAAATTTTTTTCAGAGGATAACGCTTGTTCTTAATATTATTTCTTTCCATCTAAATGGCATCTGAGAAAATATGTGTAGTTAAATGAAAAGTATAGTTGAGGAACTGTGCATCACGAATATGCAGGGAACCGTGGATCATGCAAGGGCAAAGAACCGTGTATCAATAACAGGCAAAGAGCTGTGTATCACGTAGGGGCAAGGAACCGTGTATCACGTAGGGGCAAGGAACCGTGTATCACGTAGGGGCAAGGAACCGTGTATCACGTAGGGGCAAGGAACCGTGTATCACAAAAGGGCAAGGAACCTTGTCTCACAAAGAGGTTAGGAACCATGTATCACGAACAGGTAAGGAACCGCGTATCGTGAGGAGTGAGGAACTGTGTATCATGAAGAGGCAGAAGGCTAGAAGGGAATTTTCGCATTATTAAGTTAACATTAAAACAATTATATCGAGAACTTCTGGATTATGTTCGTAATAGAGAAACGTCATCAATGAAACTGTTACTGGAATTATAGTCCTCGTGCTCTTTCTTTCATCTTCCTGAAGTAAGCAAAAACCGTACTGGTAGTTTTCTGTGTTTAAAAATAGCAATTTGCGTGACGAATTGAAAGGTCGTTTCAAAAATGCTCCGACTAGAGCACTATTTGATAATTCCTTGTAAGGTTAAACAGCAGTTGAATGGATAAGTCGGCTATTTTTATCAGCCTGCAGGCCACCTGAGCAAGGCAGTGACACGTCCGTTGTGCTCCAGTGATTGGAAGCCAACCCGGACGCATGTGGTGTAAGTTCTCGGCGGTGGGTCTGACTCGTTCGCGTTTGCTTGGGGGTTGTAACTGGAACGTCATCCGCGGTTTAAATGGGTAGAACTAAGCTGTGCACTCACTCAGTTCTCACACGAGTGTGAAAAAGAGATACGTGTATTGACAGTGTCCTCACTCGAGACGTGTCTTTAACTAATCAGTCGTGATTGGAAATTTTGAAGAACTTGATTCATAAATCAAGGAGTGATTCAGTTTAATTGTTATTTCACGACTTTAAGTTCTTCCCTTTTTTGTAACATTCTCTCCAGAAAACTAGCCCTAAAGCAAAATGCAAAGAAACTTTGACTATACTCTACAGTTTTTAAAACTATTTTGTTCCCTGTAGTCAAAATTAATGTTGTATGAACAACTTTAGAGAATTCCATGAAATGAATTTAAGACTCCAGGGCCGAGTTCGGGCGGCCTGTTCTTTACAGGAGTTTCTTGTTCTCGCACTCGAACAAGACCCAAGAACACTGTTCTCGGAACCGGATCACACACCACCTTCTCGTCAGGGATGTGCACGATCACACGGAAAAACACGCGGGATTTTGATTATTGACAAGCTACAAAAACAAGAAGTGAATTTCTCTTATAAATTATGACGAATTTGACTCTTTTTCATGTTTTTGTGGAAAAGACAGACAGCTGTTTACCTTAATAAGCTATTCACTTGGCCTTGGTATTCCCTAGTTACAGTGCCGTAGTACGTTTCTCACGGGTAGCATAGGTGATCTGCATTTAAAGCGACTCGCGGCACATCCAGCTGATGCAGTGGCGGATCCGGAGGGCTCAGCAGGGAACATCCCCTCTCCCCCCTTCAAAAAAAGTAACAAATTCTTTTTTTTCCTTTAAAGAAATTTAAAGAGACAAAGTACATTAAGAGAGGCCCATAAAAGTTACATGAAGACATCTCGAAGTTTTTAGACCTCCCAAACCACTTTTGCCCCTCCCTTCCCCTTCCCCAAATGATTCTGGGTCCGCTCTTGAGCTAACAGCCACCTTTCAGCAACCCACAGGGAACAAACTTAGAACGGCGTTTTGCAGGGACCAGACAGGAAGGACAACATGAAAGTGGGACCCTTTATGCTAATATCAAGGTTGATTGTGCCCATCACAGTTGGAAAAATATCTCTGAACTCGAAACCAAAGAACAGACAATCAACGATGTCAATTTGGTTTACAATACAATGCATATAACATAGTTTACAATACAACACGTATATACATGTACAAGTATTTAGTTCTTCCTCATGGCGAAATATAATACTGTATCTAGAAGTGGCAAAACCCTGAAATCATAGCCTGAGCGAAGACATGCCGTATTAAAAAAAAATAAAAAACAATTAAAAAAAGAACTTACAGAAACTAAATAAAGAAAAAATATATATGCAATCTTATCAGTGTAAGTGCCCAAGAGCCAAAGTAAGATTTGCAGCAATGAACCTGTTTAATGACGTGTGCAAAATATTTTCAAGTTAAATGGTCACACCTTGCCTTCTTGACACTGATAATTTTTTTTCAATAATCTTTCGACCTTCGAAAGGCTCTCATATTCAACCCTTTGCATCTATAAAGTGATTGAATTTTGCAAGAGACGATTCAGTAAGTGTTGACTGTTGAACTCACAATTGACGTCACAGATTTCTTATTCATGAACTTCAATCTCCCATGGATATAATTGACCTCCTTAAACGTTAGGTTTTCCCTATGGCTGTCTGAAGGCAGTAGCGAATACAGAAGAGCACGCATACCTCGAGGTTTCTGTACGTAGGCATGGTGACTAACGCGTGTCATGCATCCCCCAAAGTCACATTTACCGTTATTTTAAACCGCCCCCTCCCCGCGCCAAGCGGATATCGAAGTGAATCAGTAAAGGGCCTCCAAATCGCTAAAACCTGATCGTGGCTGGTACAAGGGAAATGACTTGTTCGCAACCCATGAGACGAAGGGTACTCCTGAAACATTCTCGGCTGAAAAATAACCAGGTTTCATGGGCAGGAATATCGTTTCTTGGAGCTTACGCGTCTTGCAAGAACTTTGAACCGTGTTGGATATTTCTCGCTGTGAGGCGTATGAAGGATGTATTGAGCTGACCAGATGTTTCAAAACCTTATTCAGTGACAAAATGTATTTAAAGTTGCAACTCAGACGGCCAAGATTTGCTGATGAACGGGGGCTGAAATATAAAACACCTTTGTAAGTTTTGTGTTTTATCTTGATAGGGTGCTCGTCAGGCGGCTAACCTGCCTATCGAGAACTTATCCTTAGCATGGTTGGTTTTTAGCTGTTGTAGGCCTACGCCGTCAATGGTTTCCCCAATCCAGTCCTGACTTAGTAAGATCTGCCTTGCCTTTACCCCTCACTTAATAAGAGGCCTAAAGTTGTGTTTGCCAGTGAGAGAAATTCCTTTTTTTTCTGTCCATGGAGGTTGCATCTAGAAGATGATGACGACGACGATGATGATGAGACCACTACAACACCCGTGATCATCAGTGACCTTACCACGACAACCCACAGGCTGGGCATGGAATTCGTGACAATACCCGGACAAGACGGTAAGTGCATGTAGAACAATAGGCAGGACCTAGCCCTCTCGTGAAACCTTACGGTTCATAAACAGGTAAAAATGTTCAGGGTTTTGAACTTTCGAGGTCTCGTGAAAACTCCTCCTACTGCAAGAAAGCAACGGAGGGCATTTAAAATCTACCGCAGTCTGGCTCTCAGACTCGAGACATTTTAGAGTTGCGACCCAAGCTCACATCACCCTACCCAGTTATCCCTCACTGGATCGGCGAGTGGAGTTTGCATCGGGCATAATTACAGCACCCTTCAGCCCCGACTGCAGGTTGAAGGTTTCTGAGCCAGGCAGTCTTTCACAGTTGCCTTTCTCTCTGCGTTCTGGTCAAGGTCTAGTCCTATTGCCCACTCAATGAACAAAATACTCGGTTAGTAGATTGCTGGATCACTGGAGCGGAAATCTTAGCAGATTACGGGCAGGTAGTTCAGAGTTTTACAGTAACACAATGCCTGGGGATGTGTGTGAAGTGGTCGAACAACGAGAGAAGGGGGGGGGGTGTATCCCACCTTAGTATTAGAAATGTCCATGCCCAAACGGGTGCTCCCCTGAGTCCCTGTTCAGTTGCTCTCGGTAGTTACGCCACTGTGTGTGTGGGTGAATTTATCTGAGAACTCGGAAAGTTAATAATGATCGACTGTTTGTCAAAAAAACTAGAATACCTATCCCTTGTTCCATGGTCAGTCAATGGTGTTACTAGGAGGGGGTACCGAAAGGCACGAGGTCCAGCCTCTCGGAGCCAAATCCTCCTTTTTAAAATTTTGAAATGTAGGCCTACATATTACAAGCCACGGTTCATCGGCCTTCGATGTTCCCTTGAAAAGTTGTGCGCACGCCAAGTTGTCCCCCCCCCGAAATTTCTCCCTTGTTAATCCCTCAGCTGAGCCACTGAAACATCCTTCAATTGATCCCTTTATTCCTACAGATGCTGTTGAACGTTGTTACAACTGATAATGTTAAAACCAAGGTCCAACGTATTACCAACTGATAATGTATCACCGATTGACGGATAACGATCACCGATTGACGGATAATGTATCACCGATTGAAGGATAATGTATCACCCACTGAAGGATAATGTATTACCAATTGACCGAAGGAATAATTTTCGGGGGAAAAAATGTCCTTTCCTATGAAACATTCGTCGGAAAAAATAGGCCACAGTAGGGAATGCAATTAATTAATTTCACATTTCAATGAGAACCACCCTGCAATCTGGCCATGGAAGCTCAAACTGGGAACACCAAAACAAGCACCTGTTTGGGGAATGGAATGCTTTCCGTGCGCAAAAAAATGAAAAAAAAAACGCACAAGCAAAATAAACATTGATGCTCAAGTCGGCGAGAGAAAATTTCTCAAATGAAAACAGTATAAAAGACTAAAAATGAGAAAAAAATTAAAGCTGCTCTGACAAATGTCGTTCATAAATTCGGTGAAGGAATTCCCACTCAGTGGTCAATACATCCAAGTTTCATCAAAATCTCCGAAAGCATGTACATGTATAAGTTAGAGAGTTTTTTTTCTAAACTTTAACGTACACATTTTGGGACACTGGGTAAAGACTCCAAAAATTGGTTTGGGCAACAATTTATTTCCCACTCTAATCCATAATTATCAGTCGATTTTTGATGCCTTGCC